AGGGGCCCCCCGACAGCTGCTAGAAGGATTCCCAAATCCCATAAAGATTCAAGGAAGCATCAGTTCTTCAACTGCTGGTGCCTCACAAGGGGATCAAACCCCATCCAGACGCCCTTGCCATGGGTTTGGATGGCAGCCAGGGAGCGTGGCTGCTTCACAGGGCAATTCCCAGTCTCCCCAGATGAGGGAAAGCGAGGAGGCTACGTACCGATCTCGGTGGGGGGCTGCTGGCTCTTGGCGGGGCTTTCTGCCGGCACAGTAAGGGACTTGAGAGCATTGCAAGCGCTAACGATCTCCTGCATTTGGAGGAAACCCGCCACGGCCAGCACGTCTTCCACGTTGTCAGGGTTTAGGCTTAGCTTAGCCGTGTACATGAACTCCAAAACCTGGCCCAGGCCTGCAAGGGAGGCGATGCAACCAGAAATAAGCTCTCATCTCTCAGCCATGCAATTTTTGAAAAGCCCAAAGCGCACAAAATAACAGGCTGAAGAGCTTCCCTCAAACCCTGGGCACAAAACCGCTTCGTTTAAATGGCTCAGAGGGATATCAGATAACCCTCTGCCTACCTGCCGCGTTGCTGATGTCGAGGTGCACCACGTCCTTCTGGTCGACGAAGAGCATCCTGAAATACTCGCTGCAGGCCGCCAGCACGGCTTTGTGGGCCTTGAAGTCGATGCCGTCCACCACGAAGGTGCAGTCGCACAGCAAACCCAGCTGCCGCTGCTGGTTCAGCTGTTCCAGGACTTGCTTGCTGTGCTGGGGGAAATCCATGGCTGCGGGGAGAAAAACAAAGCCGCGGAGGGGTGTGAGACAGGTGCCGAAACCCCGACGCCGCGTTGGAAAGGGCCATGAAACAGGACAGATCGCAAAGCCACAGATCAACCACAACCTCACTGCCCTGTTTGTTAAAAAACATGGCCCAAAAAGCCCAATTTCAGCTCCTTGCTAGAGCCGCCTGCCCAACCCCCACCAAATACAAGCCCAAAACTTCTCCTATAACAGGCATAACACCACCGCGGGGCTGCAAAGCGAGCTGATTGAACAGTCACTATATTTTTTTTGTCATCCTAACAGCATTTAAAATACATTTATTGCTCTTCATCTGGCCCAAGCTGCGAGCAGGAACCCTGTTGCCTCTGCAAACGTGTCCCTTCAGCGAGCAGGCAGTGCCACCGCTCCCGCCGAGGGCGCAGCGTGGAAAGCATTCATCAAAATCTTTGAGCTCCTGCTCATTTTAGGTGCTCGCGCCATGACACATCATGAGGGATTTTTATTTTTTTATTGTGTGTTTGGAGGGAGCTCTCCCTGCTCGAAGCACGTCTTTGGCTGAGGAATACTGCAAACTCCTGGAAACACTGTGAAAACCCATTTTTCAAGCAGGTCCTCATCCACAAAGGTTGAGAGGTACCACGTGCTTGATCTGCTGCCAAGTGTTGGGTTTCCTCCTGGGCTGCACCTGCAGGGCGCAGGGTAGAGAATTAAGGGTTTTCACTCAGCTTCGTTTTCCAAAAATGATTCCTGCGCAGGCTGAAGGGATCGTTTCATCACTTGCTGGGCAAGCAATGAGCTAGGAGGGAGGAGAAAGCAAACGGGAACTATCCACAGTTATTGTTCAACCTGCCAGGCCAGGAAGTCCCTGAAGCTCTGGATGCTGGAAGAAGCAAGGTTATGGCCAGGGAAACACTCCTGGTTTCGATGCCAAGTCGACGGTCAGTGTCTCTCTGAAGGTTTCCAGCCCACAGCAGTTGCTTTTTCACTTTACCAGCTCTTAAAAACAGCATGGGGAGTCTCAGGTCGGGGAAAGGTGACAGGTTTGGATCCACAAAACCTGGTCGCTTCCAGCGGCGAGCAGGCATGCTCACGAGTTTCCAGGCAGCTGCAAGCATGTCCCTTCCTCCGGATCCATTTGAACGTGCACAAGCGCGCAGCAGGCGAGCACCGCGGGCAGAGGGAGCCTCCTCCTGTCTGCAGTGGGTGCTAGCAACGCACTCGGTGAAAGATCTTCCACCCAAGGATCTATTCGGCTCCCAAAATCATTCCCGGCGGGGATGAGAAGCCCAGACACCTCTGACAGCATCGGATCACGCACGGAGAGAGAAAAAGTTTCACTCCCACAAGACGCTGTTTGTCTTTGCAATTAATAACCTGCCGCAACTTTCCCCCAGCTCTCCAAAACACGGGATACTTTTTAACCAAACACCCAAAACCTGTCCCAAAATTCATCCCTTGAGAGCCAGAAAAATCAGTATTTGTGTCAAAATACGTCTAAGCTCCTGCATACCTATGACCCTGTAAGGTTTGCAAAGGAAGCTCTGGAAAAAAAGGGGAGGATTTTCCCAGCAGGACAAACAAAGCTGCCTTCTGTGCTTGGAAAGCTCTGCGCAGCAGGACCTGAGAAATCATGATGGTTTGATGCACTAAAAGGCTATTTTCGGTAATTTGTAGGAGGCACTTTGCATCTGAATGATGATTTTTATCGCCCCCCGATTGGACTCGCCTCAGCTTCGCAACTGAGCTTTGCAAAGGAAGCAAAATCCCAAGAAACTCAACTCCTCCCAAAAAACTTGATCGTTTCTGCAGTTTCCTCTGCAACGTCACGTTACGGCTTTGTCGGAGCACGCGAGCGCAGCAGGACAGAGGTTGGGGCAAGCTGCGTATCGCCCTCACGCTCGAACCCAGCGCCCAATGTCCCCCAGCAGCTGAGATCATCTTTGTAGACTAAAATCCCTGACCCCAAGCCTTAAAAATCCCAAATATCTGGATCAAAAAACCCACGGTGCACCCAAAATGCCACCCTGGTTCCTTGCCACCACTCGGGCAGGGCCCATTCGCAGCTCTGGCACTGAGATCCGTCTCCTTCCCTGACTGAACGGGAGGTGCCAAAATGGGGATGGATCAGGGGCTGGATCCAGGGAGGGCAAATGTCAAATCAGGCATTGCTGGTCCACCCAACCGCTAAACTAATTAGCCCCCGTTAGCACAAACCCATCGCTGTCAGCTGTTTAAGGTAGCGGCGCTGTCCGAGGACGTGTGTCAGAGCGCCTGGCCTGAAAAACAAAGATAAGCCAGGATCGGTGCCCGACCTCACCCCTGCGCTGCGAGGAGCGGAGATATCCGGAGGACCGAGGCTGCGGGCGAGACAGTTGTGGCTCTCTTCCAGAGTTTTCCCCCTTCCCGGTGCTCAAGTCAGTCTCTACGCAGCCATCCTGGGAGAAACGGGACAAAAAGCTCTGTTTTAAAACCCAAACTTCACATGTCGAAAGCACCAAGGTCTGGTGTCACCAACCCAGGACCGGGCACCCCCCGATTTCACCTTGTCGGAGGCACGCGAGCGCCGTTTCCCCTCCCGACCTCTCCCCGACGTGGCTGTCGAGTCTCTCATTACCCGATTAATCACAGAAAAGCTTCGTTATGAGAACACCCACGCCTGCCGCACGCGCTCGCAGAGATAAATACAGCAGCGACAGTCCCGGGGAGCTTCCCACACAAACTCCGTTAACCTTTCTCACTTATTAACTACATTAACCTTTCCCCATACCAGCCATCTGAGCACCTACGTATTAAAAAAACCCCAAAGCCTCGATAAACTGGAAAAATATAGTGGTTTAAACGTTGCCTTTCAATGCTGTCACCATCCAGCCATCCATTCTTACACTGAGAAGATAAAAAGGAAGAAGGGGTTTACTTTCTGCCTACCGTCATCTCCCTTCTTGTGTGTCAGCTCGGGGAAAGCAGCCCTAATCCTTTCAGTCTCTGCGAAGAGGAGTCTGTCCTCATTTCCAGTAACCGATTCTGCAACATTTTCAGTTAAAAAATAAAGTTAAGAGCTGATCTGACTGGAGCATTCAAAGTACAGATGTGCTAATAATACAAATTATGAAATAGAGAAGGGCTCTGGAGTTCATGGTCGGCAGCGAAACCAGAAGGCGAGCTGGCATTCAGCTGTAAGCAGGGGGAAATAATCACAAGTGATGACAGGCAGGAAAAAAACGTGGTGAAAAGGAACTAAAAGGAGAAAGACACGAGGAAAGAGATGAGCAGAGACACTCTGGACCCCCCCAGTGAACAGACACCCCACAGGCGCCTCGGTTATTTAGTTTTCGGGCCCACGGATACACTCGTGCAGCTCCTGACGCGGCTGTGCAGGCAGGGCTGCCTGCAGGTACCCGGAGCCCTGGGCTGCAGCAGGCAGTGAGCCAGCGCGGCCGCTGAGACATCGAGCTCTGCTGTGAAAACCACCCGTTTCTGCAGCGCCCGGATGATGAACTACAAAACCTTCATCTTCTCGCAAAAAAAGTGTCTTTGGATCATTGTCTGATCTCTGAAATTCCAGCAGAAGCTTCTTCTGGCACAGAAACACGATCAAGGAAACGCGGCTTGTCCATAAAATGCATCACCCACACCCAAAAAGCGACACCCACAGAGGGCACGTTCAGCTGGTACGGGCTGTCATCACGCCAAAAAAGACGCCAGAAGATGAGAAAAAACCCTTTTTCCCTTGAGCTGCTGCACGATGCTTTGAAGTTTTCTCCGCTCTTCTGCTGGCGACATTCTTGACGCGCAGGTAGACAGCTCGTGCGGTGTCAGGGGACTCATCCCACGCAGCGCTGGCTGTCAGGGCTGCGTACCCCGCAGACGTCTTGCCGTGTCCTGAGGGGATGGCGGCTGCCCCACGCGTGGGGGGCCAAGGCTTTGCTCCTGACCTCGCCCCAAATCACCCCATGGCTCCGTGGGAGGACACACACGTCTCCCACAGTGGACACAGCCACCCT